AAACATATTTACAAAGAAAGATGTTGCTGTTTTAAATCCTCGACTGTATGAAAGACTGAAAGCTTCTCCATTCTCTTCTCTGGTTTAGTGCTCAGCAGGTGGACTTTATAGCAATGTGTCTTTCAACAACCAAAGTCTTTTTGCACAACCTCGTCTGGCCCCACAAGAACAGGACCTGCAGCCCAAATCTTTCCCCAAACCAATTTACTCCTACAGGTGAGCAAATACACAAAATAGCCTCATAGATCTCTTCATTAATCTGATCTATTTTAAACAAATTTCCACTCGTATTGTTTTCTTCCAGTTGTTTGATTGCCATGGCTTTAAAGAACAGCAAAACTGGAAGCCTCCCTGTCAGTGAGATCTATAGCTTTATGAAGGAACACTTTCCATATTTCAAGGTCTGATTTTTCTTTATATTATTAATAGACACTGAGTGAAAATAAGGTACTGTCATGTTAGCAATAAAAATTCAATTAATTGTGTAATACGTTGATTTTTAACAGACTGCACCTGATGGTTGGAAGAATTCAGTCAGACACAACCTTTCCTTAAATAAATGCTTTGAGAAGGTGGAAAACAAGACGAGCAGCTCTTCCCGTAAGGGCTGCCTGTGGGCGCTGAACCCTGCCAAAATTGACAAGATGGAGGAAGAGATGCAGAAGTGGAAACGCAAAGATCTCCCAGCTATTCGCCGCAGCATGGCAAATCCAGGTCAGAAAAATCTATTCAGAAACTTTAAAGTTAAAACATGTTTTCAACTTAGTCTGACAGTCTGTTCTGCTTTCCTCCAGACGAGCTGGACAAACTGATCACAGACCGCCCAGAAAACTGCAGACGGAAGCCTCTGGAGCCCGGCATGACCCGGCTGGCTGGCTGCACAACTGGTCTCCCTCTGTCTGTGCCTGCACAGATGCAACCTCCGCCCATCGTCACACTGTCTCTGCCATGTTTGCCCATGCACCAACACCACCAGCTTCAAGCTCAACTCCAGGCTCAGGCCCGACTGGGCCCCATGTCCCCTGCTCCGGCCCAGACGCCCCCCCTCCACACGGTCCCTGACCTTTCCCACAGTCCACTCACCCAGCAGCCCAGTAAGCCTCCTGATGATTTTTACAGTGTGCAGAGTGATACAAACACAGAGGTGGATGCACTGGACCCCAGCATCATGGACTTCGCCTTTCAAGGTAAAAAAAAATTAAACCTTTTCCAAAAAAACAAATGTTGGTTTATCCGTCCATTCCTGCTTAGTCCTTGTCAGGGTCGCATTGAGGTTGGTCCTTATATTCCGCAGTCTATGGGTGAGAGGCGGGGTTGAATATATTACCTAAATTCAAAAAAAAGAAAATTAATAGTTTAATTAACTTAAAAAGTAGTACAATCAAAAACATGATTTAAAGATTAATTTTCAAAACAATTAATTCATACATGAATTTGTTGTATGTTAAAACAATAATATGCCTGTTAGATATTTTGTAATCATTTGTGGTAAGGCTTTAAAACATAATGAATTAAATATATACTAAATGAAACATAGGTTGAAAGATTTAATACAAATGTTAAAGTAATTATGAACAGAGCTTTATTTATCCCATGTATCTATTGCTATTAGATAGGCTGAGGTGGGAAAAACATATAAGAAAATCCAAAGTTGCACAGCATTGAATATTTTATAGTTTTCCTAAAAACTGGTCCTACAACTAATGAGCAGAGAAGCATGAATTCCCTCCTTTATCAACAGCATGACAGTTTCAGACCACCTAACTTTTAGTCTTACAGCCATTTCAAATGAGTAGAGAATTAATTATAATTTCAGAATTACAGTAATTTTATAAACTTTTTCAAAAATATACCAGTAATATCACTATATTCATATTAAGTTTAAACAGTTTTTTTCAACTAATAGTATATGGTTTAAACGTTTATTAAATCTAGTTTCTCAATTTATTACTTTTCTGTTCCAATCTTTATATTTTTGATTTAAATGTTACAAATCACCATAATATTATTTTGTTCCATTTACTCATAAATTAATTTATAATAACCAAACTGTTGATTATTCATGGCAATAACACCCTAACTAATGCTTTTCAGGGAACTTGTGGGAAGAAATGAAAGATGACAGCTTTAACCTGGATGCTTTGGGCACCTTCAGTAACTCCCCTCTGCGACTTTCAGACTGTGACTTGGGATCAGCGATCCCTCCAGCCTCCAATGGAGTGAGCGGGTCGCTGTCAGATGTGCAAGTGACGGGGCTGTACACCTCATACACCTCACAGGATCCCCTGTCCTCCCAGTACATGGGCAGCCAACCCAACAGCAAACCCATTGCCCTGCTTTAAAAAGGCCAAACTGTTTCCTAATAATCAACTTTTTTCGTTCTTCCCAATTTTTGGATGGCAGCTAACAAAGTGGGATTATTTACGAAGAAGTGAAAGTTCTAGGAACTTGGAGAACCTTGACGGAAACTTTTTTTTTTTAACAATTAAACTGATTTCTAGGAACTAAAACCACATATGACTTGAAAAAAAAAAAGTCAGACCTGAAATCTTTAGTTTTGCCAAGCAAAGACTGGAAACTTCTATAAGTACAGTGTGTGGAGAACTGCATGGAAGTTAGTTCTTACCTGTTCCTCTATTGTTCTCCGTTCTGTGATGTAGCTCAAAAACTCTTGTCTGTTGTATTGTGCTAGACTTTATTGCTGTGATGTTTTATTTATATTTATAAAAGACAGCTGGGGACGATGATAACTCTATCAATCTTTTGCTGTATATATTTAATTGTTTGAATTTGGTGTAACCCACATCTTTCCAAAACACACCCAGTAAGTCAGCTTGTACTTGGTGCTCCTCCACCTTATGATTTACATTTCTGAAATGAAGATGTTTGATTTGCTATTTGCCTTGATAAACATAAAAAAAAACTGGATTTTCAGGAACTTCATTGTAAAGATGCTGAAAATAAAATAAATTATTAGGAGCATCCCATACAGTTTCACAATAACAAGCCTTTTACACTTTTAAGTGCATCTCAGTAAAGTCTAATATAAGGTTGTTATTTCAGTAATTCCATTAAACCAGCCAAACTACTAACTAATATGTTGGTGTTTCTTACAAATAGTGGTATATTTCAAGCATTTATTTCTCAAATTTGATTGTGGCATACAGATTTTTTAAATTATAATTCTGTTTCTTAGATAATTACAATATCAATAGGTCAATAAAAATTTTTCTTGAAATCAGAAATATCTGCATATTAAAAGCTTGTCCATGAACTGGATTCAATCTTTGGTTCGGGCTCGTTTTGCATCAATTACTGCATACAGCGTAGCATGGAGGCAGTCGTCCTATAAATATGCTGAGGTGATGATGAAGCCCAGATTGCTTTAATGGAATCATTTAGCTTATCAGCATTCATAGCTCTGGTTCCATCTATCTGCTATTAAACTGCCAAACAAGCTACTGTTTCGACAACTGTTCCAAGGCATGGAGACAGTTTTAGGGCAAAAATGCCCTTTAAGGACTGCCATAAAGTATTCTTCCTAGACCTGGATATCAACATTAGCTGTTCAACAGATCTCCTATATGTGGGGAAGCCTTTCAGGCCCGGGATGGTTTGTTTAGCCATTTCAAGACCCATAATCACTGATATATAAAGCAACATTGAGTTTTAGCCTTCTTAAAATATGAGAGATGAACATTATGCCATTAAAATCTACTGGTTCTCAGTGGAGCTTAGGACAGGCCAGTTGCACAGTGATATGTCATTTAAGCAGGTGTTGGTATAATCGGTTGTGAGGATAGGTGCCCAGTCCTGTTGGGCAATGAAATCAACAATTCCCAAAGCCCTGTCTGCAGAGAAAAGCATAAAACTCTTCAACATTTGCAGACAGCTGCTCTGACTTGCGACTTCAGAAAACACCCTGGTTCAATACTAGTAGAAGACATAAGTCTCCAAATCATTATTGACTGAGCAAACTGCAAACTGAGCCTTAAGGAACTTGGATTCGGTGCCTCTCCACCTTTGCTCAAGACTGCTTTAGTTTTAAACAAAATGCTAAATTTTGCTTTCAACTGAAAGATGACTTTGGAACATCCTTCAGTGCATTTGACTCCTCTGTGAGACATAAACTGTCCCTGATTCAGGAGTGGCTCAAATCAAAGAATGGGGCGGATGTTCTCCATGTCTCTCTTTGTGGTGTATTTTACATTTTCTTCCATACATTTACCTTACAATCAACTTTATATATAGCCAACCTTTTTTAATAATTACATTTTAGGGCTGAACAATTTTGCCAAAAATCCAATTGCGATTATTTCCAATCAATATCACGTTAGCAATTTTATTGCAATTTTCCTTTGCACAAAGCAAAAGTCTGAGGATGTTTTTACTCAAGGGTTTAAGCTTACTTGTCAATGAGCCCACTGTTACAGGACTTAACTGTAACTTTTGCATTCTGTGCGGCAGCATACCCATTTTAGGTGTATTACCACCACCTAAAAGGCTCAAGGGAAAAATTAAGTGTCTTAGTCTTGTTAAATGTAATGTGACTAAAATTGATTGCATCTACGATTTGAAAATAGTGTTTTTGTAACTGAAATTATAATGCCAATGCAATTAATTTTCCAGCCCTTTGAAGGCTTAACCTCAACATGAAGGGTTAAATGGACTGTCTGCTGGATGACCCTGCAATTATCAGTCTTCCACATAATTGTGTAGAAATATAACACTGCAAAAATTGAAATTAGTATTTTATTTTTTTCTTAAAACAAGGGCTTTTTTTTCTTGAATTGAGAAGATAAGTATGACAATTTTCCAATGGAATAGACAATTTGCAAAATAAGAAAAAACTATTGTCTTATTTCAAGTGCATATAATCTTATTTTAAGAGTAATACACCTCATTCCAATTGCCAAATCATCTTATTTACCTACTCAAATCATAGGTAAATGCACTTAATTTAAGAAATTTGTACTTATTTCTAGTTTTTGCAGTGAATATTTGCATCAAAATTTCCTTACAAACTAAATTTTGTTTTTATGAGCTGGGTGCTATAGTAATAAAGAATGTAATATAGCAACAGCAGAATTCATATACCAGTAATCTATATATGACTTACACAGTTTTGCATTAAATTAGTGAAAAAATGTAGAGCAGATAATAAAAAACTAAGTAATGAAAACACATACTAACTCCTTCAGCATTTCATATTCTTGTACTTATGTTTTTTTGTTTGTTTTTTAGTCCAATTCTGATACTAAAAAGGACCAGCTTCCACTGTAAACCTTTATATTAATCCAGGTAATGTTGTTGCTACTATAAAATTCCGTGATTTAATGTAGTTTGCACAACTCTATTTCCTCCTGCAGTCAAACGATTGTGACAATATTTCTACAATAATAATATCCATCTGCCAGAGCATTCTTTTTTGGCTTTATCAAGGATCTCTTGATCAGTCTTATTTTGTCATAGTTCACAAAAGTTAAGTAGTCCAAATGGAATTAAGAATCAGAGTCAGTTCTGTAATCACTGAGTCTTTTCATCTTAATTCAGCAACACATTTACTAAAGAGAGAAATAAAAAAAAGGTGTGTCAATGTGCCAGGGTAGGAAGTGGTTTGCTTACAGGAGCAATGTGTGGGATGGACTGAGCTTATTTTTCACAGCTGATATTAAAAGACAAACATACAAGTTCTGTTATAACTTTAAATAGAAATTATAACTGGGGGGCAAACAAAAATAATATCATTTCATAAAGCCCCAATACACTGCACACAATGAAATAAGGCAAAACTTAAGTCATTAAGTGATTGACAACATATGGACTTAATACAGCAAAGTGAGGAGTGCATTACAGTGTTAGGCCGAGTAGAGAGGAAGGCTTCCAGGACTAAACAGGTGAAATTTCTAATTTCTTCATTCAAACATTCAATACACTGTCAAAGCTTTGGATTATGACGAGCATGAAAAGGCAGCTCAACAGGACAGATTTTCCATTACTGTTTAAATGTGCTTTTCTTTTTTTTCTTTTTTTTTTGGTACAAAAGGAACATCAGTATTCCAGCCCTGAAATTCTTGTCTACATTCTATTAGTTTTAGCTCCTGGGCCTTTCAACACTTGGGTGATTTTGTGCTTACACATTTCAACAGTACAATAAACTTAAAAAAAAAAGGAGTATTTGTTCTCTTCAATGGCTGATAAAATCCCAGAGCTCAACTGGTGTCAGAACTGCTGGTGTCCATCGTGGCAAGCAAGTGTGATAATGTGGCCCTCTGGGAGGGAGCAATGTTCTGGCTCATATGAATGATGCAGTCCATGGCTATGTCAGGGTTGGCCTGCACCAAGCTGCACACAAGAACAACAATGTCAAATAAAAAGGTGGAATACTTGTGGAGAACAGACATGCATAAAGTACCAATATACAAAAATCTGAGTTGCTTTGTCCATGACCCCTTAAGAACTTTGCATTTCTGAATCCTTCACCAGTATAAAAAACTATTTCCATTGAAGAGATAGAAAACAATCTCAGCTCAGCATAATACGGTAACTCAGCGAAGTTATTATGCTCCAATGGAAAAATTCAAAATATACTAAATACCTTTTGTTGATAGAGAACCTTTGGAAAAGGGTCTAGCTTGTCTGGGTGCAGTCCGTAACCTTTGTCTTTTGTTCTTTGTTAAGCTCTTTGCATGTCAGAGTGAGGCATTTAAAATCAGCATGGTAAACTAAAGCAGCATGGCCTCTGCAACCCACAATGCACCGGAGGATTGCATCCTCTTTCTGCCCCCACTAAGGTAAATATTTGGCAAAGGGGGGAAAAAAAACTCTTAGAAGATTTAGACATAATTAAAGGTAAAGGTTATACTACAAATAACTCAGAGAGGGGAGCTGAATATCTACACATGGCTCACTTTTCTGATTTTTATTATTAAACTGTCTAATTTTTTTCTGCTTCACAAGCAGTAGTCTTTTATATAAAAACACAATAAAATACTTTGACGTTATAGGTTGTAACCTAAGATTTTATACTTTTTAAAGGCACTGTAAGCTGTTGCATAGATGAAACTTAGGCTTGTACATACCTACGAATGTGCTTTAAAGCGTTCTCTCTTTTTAAGTACTTAATATTTTCTCGAATGGCTGAGTGTGTGCCGTCCTCCATTGACAAGTGCTTCTCAAGCCACTCCACCACTGCTTGGTTGTTATCCCAAAGATAAGCCTATAAAAGTAGACAGCTATAAGTTCAGTTCAGTTTCATATAATAACATAGAAAAAACATTTATTTTCTCCATAGTTTGTGTTTTTTTTTTCTGCTGGGTGATTTTCTTTATGAGCAGCAAATCACACACCTTGACTGTTCCCTCCGTTTCAACAAACCATCTCCGCAGCATGGACTGCATGTGCCCATCGCTCATATCCTTATTGGCCTCCATAATCTCACACTTGACCACCTGTTCCAACAGGAGCCGTCGAAGGCGCCAGTAGAAGAAGGTTCGCGCCTGTTTCCAGTCTAAAATATCCTGTGAAAGTGTCAAATTTCAACTTTAAAAAGTTTCCTCCTCTTAAGATTTTTAAACCTCTATGGTTTTTACAAAAAACCTCAACTCACAGTGATGACCCCTTTCTCCTGCATTCTGCCAGGAGTGTCATGCAGATCCACAAACTGCACCGCCACCTGGTGGTAGATAGGCAACAGGAATTCTTCTCTTGCTTTGAGCTTCTCCTCCAACTCCTTGATTTCTTTGTCTGACCAATCCAATGATGCTAGAATAAGAAGAAAAAGGTCTTGCACCTTAAAGATCTGAACATTAACACTTTCAAAATATGAAAATTAAAATATTTTTGTATTTAGAGACAGAAAAATACTTTACCGAGTTGCTCAACTAGACCGGCATAGACTGAATCCAGTCTTCTCATTGCCTTCAGTAGGTCCTTCCTCCTGAATTTAATCTCCACTGTGCCCTCTGCTTCCAACACGCCTCCTCTTAATCAAAGAAGAATGACCAAAAAAAGTGGAATATTCTTGGAATCATGCACGGCAGTTCCTTTGTATGAAATCACAATTTAGAGTTTCTATACCTGCTCTCTCTGTCAGCGTAGAGCTCCATACACAGCAGGTTGATGGTGGGATCTATAACAACCCAGGACCCACCTCTCAATTCAGCATGGGGTGGGATGTACACCAACACCGGCTGCCGAAAATTGTGCAATGCATCCACAATGTAGGCCCCGAACTTTAAGACCTGGTCATACATATCTGCAAAAAAAAAAGAAAAACAACAACTTTAAATCACCTGCACAAATTTGTAGCCCAAACTGTGAATGTTTGCAAAGTTACTTTTGGTTCACTTTTCTTACAGCATGAGGACTGCATGTATGTAGACTATAGACACAGTAACCTTTATTGAGAAAATATAAATGCTACATTGGTGTTTCTTGCAGACAACAAATCGAAGGTTTACCAATAATGTGATCTAATAATAAATAATCTAAAAAGGCTTGTCTTTCATAAAGCTGACCTCTTGCCTCTGGTACAATAAAAAAAAGAAGTTGTCTACAGTTGAGACAATGTCTCTCTGATAAACAGCAGTGTTTTATTACAGAGGAAATTCCAAGGGTGTTCCCCAGTCCTCATGTCTATCTTTGGGTTTATCATCTTCTAGAGCCAGAGATTATTATCCTACTCAGATTAAAATAACCAAACAGTTAAAATATAACTTGAGTAACATCCAGAAAGCATATTAGCAAAAGAAGTTACATAATGTGCTAAAAGACAACCCAGTTTGTAAACGGGCAATCATAATCTGCACAGAAAGACTGAAAAACAACTGATCCGACTAATGTAATATCTAATGCTTTAGTTTTATTTATTTATTTTATTTGTTCTTTTTTTTTTAGCCAGAATTGTACCTAAAATGTGTTTTCAAGTCTGCAGTTTTTGTTTGGAATCATCTGTGCAGTTCTTGGCCAGGTCTTTCTTGAAAAAGAGATTTTTAATATCAATTCGATATACCTTGATTAATACAGGTTACATGTAAATACACCAAAATAACACATCTTGGATCTGAATGAATAAAACATTCTAATTGAAATTGCTGTTCTGTACAATTTTGAATGGGCTGACAAAAAAAAAAAATCACAAAAATCCAACGGAGGCCTTGATTTTGCGTCACACACAAATATAAGTAGGAAAACGCACTACAGGCTGAACCACATTTGATGTTATGTCCCTTAAACAGGTCAAAATGAGTCAGTGTTGTGTGTGGCCTCCATGTGCCTATATGACCTCCCTACAATGCCTGAGAATGTTCCAGATGAGGTGGCAGATGGTCTCCTGAGGGATCTCCTCCCAGACCTGGACTAAAGCCTCCACTAACTCCTGTCTGTGGTACAATATAACATTGGTGGATGGATAGAATAATGATGTCCTAGATGTGCTTGATCAGATTCAGGTCTGGGCAACAGGCGGGCCAGTTCATGGCTTCAATATCTTCACCTTACAGGAACTGCTGAAACACACCAGCCACATTGAGGTCTAGCATTGTCCTGCATTAGGAGGAACCCATGGCCAACCCCACCAGCTTATGGTCTCACAATGGATCTTAGGATCTCATCTTTGTATTCAATGGCAGTCATGCTACCTCTGGCACGCACATGGAGGGCTGCGTGGCCCTCCAATGAAATGCCACCCCACAAAATTACTGACCCAATGCTAAACTGGCCATGCTGAAGGAGGTTGCAGGCAACGTCCGCTCTCCATAGCGTCTCCAGACTCTGTCAGTTCTATCAAATGTGATCAGTGTGAACCGGCTTTCATCTAGGGGCATATTGTGCCAGTGGTGAATTTGCCAATCCTGGTGTTCTCTGGCAAATGCCAAGCATCCTGCAAGGTGTGGGGCTGGGGACAACCCCCAACTGTTAACATCAGGTTCTCACACCATGGAGTCAGTTTCTAACTGTTTGTGCAGGCACATGCACATTTGTGGCCTACAGGATGTCCTTTTACAGGGCACTGGAAGTGCTCCTCCTGTTCTTCCTTGCACGAGGGCAGAGTTAGCGGTCCTGCTGCTGGAATGTTGACCTCCAACGGCCTCCTCCATGTCTCCTGGTGTGCCGGCCTGTCTCCTGGTAGCGACTCCAACCTCTGGATGCTACGCTGACAGATACAGCAAATCTTTGTTCCATGGCTCGCATTGATGAGCCATCCTGGATGAGCTGTATTACCTGAGCCACTTGTGTGGGTTGTAGAGTCCATCTCATGTTACCACATTTGTGAAAACACCTTCAACATTCAATAGTGACCAAAACATCAGCCAGAAAGCATAGGTACTGAGAACCTCTCTGTGGTCCCCACCTGCAGAATCACTCCATTATTGAATGTGTCTTGCAATTTGTGATCAGTAAGTAGTGTAATCAGTGTTGCTTCTTAAGACAGTTCAATCTAAATATATCACAGGGAAAAATGCTGAAATCTTGAACTATAGTCCTCCACTTCATACTTTGTATCTTTAAAAGAAAAAAGAAAGGCACCTTTCATTCCTCCAGAGAAGCCCCTCCAATTGGCAAACACCATCAGAGGCAGACGTTCACGATTGAAGTCACAAATTGCCTGAGCCGTTTTAAATGCAGAATCTGGGAACCAAACCTGGCCAGCTTGTTGTAGAACCTGGTGAGATCACACACAAAAAATTATTTTGGGTTTTTTTTATAAGAAATTCAGCTCTAAAAAATTATTTCTGAGAAAAAAAAATGTGAAAAAATATCGAGGGACGTGAAGTCGCCCGGTACAGTGAAGGCGGGACCCCAACCTTGAGCCAGGCCTGGGGTTGGGGTTTGTCGGGGAGCGCCTAGTGGTCTGGTTCTTCCGGCAGCTTGTGTGGGAGGTGGAATGATACCGGCTAAAAAAAGTAGCACTCTCCTACACACCTAGATTGGGGTCTGGAATCCAGCTCTTTGAGAGAGATTGGACTCCTCTGGAGTGGTACGCCAAGACAGACGGAGGTTGGGTCGGGACTGTGTCTCCCCCCCAGTTCAACAGTCTTGTGTTGGTGTTTACACTGCTGGACAAGAGGGTGCCCCCCCGACACCTCCCTCAGGAGGTGTTCCAGGCATGTCCCACTGAGAGAAGGCCCAGAGGATGACCCAGGACACACTTGAGGGACTATCTCTCTCGGCTGGCCTGGAAGAGCCTTATGCTTCTTCCAGCAGAGCTAGAGGAGGTATCTGGGGAGAGGGAAGTCTGGGAATCTCTACTGAGACTGCTGCTCCCGCGACCCGGTCCCGGATAAAGCGTGAGTCGATGAATACAGACGCAAAATAAAGCTCCTTAAATGAAAATATATAGAAGTTAAATACTTACTTTAGACTCTGAATCCAGGTTTGCAGGATCTGCAGGGATTGTGAGCTCAACTGTACGCGTTTCGACGGCGATTACACCAAGCGGGATACCCCCCAACCTGCACCAACACAGAGAATATATTAATAATATTGATTATTATTGATATTACTAATTAAACTATTTGTTTTCATTCCAGTGTACCTTGCCCTTCCAACAACGACTGTTTGAGCCCAGGACCCCATGATCTCCATAAAAGAGCCGTGGTCAAAGAATCCACTCTGCCACACCCCTCTCGAAACTAAAAAATGAATATGCAAAAAAGTAAGTGATTGGATTGATTATTAACTCTACTTATATACAGTAATGACAGCGGGTAACTCACCAGGGTGAGGCCTGCCAGCCAGCATCCAACGGGGGTCATAAGGCGCTTTTGTGGGAACAAACTCTATCTCCCTGTCCACTGGATCACTGGTTGCTATAACAGGCACAGGAGACTGGTTGTTCTGTGGGGACATAAAAGAAACTTTAGTGAATGATATGACCATCATAACTGTGTTTACATTTGATAATTCAGCGCAACCTTTGGCATGTACGAGAGCCATTGCAGGATGGTGAAGACACCCTCAAAGTCATCAGGGACCGTTGTATGAGTGACCCCATTGTTGTGCATGATCTGAATTCCCCCCAGCTGATTGTTGGAGGTGTAGACATCTCTTCCTAACACCTGGACAAAAGCAGAGACTTATACAATCATGACTAATGGAAGAAAGTTCAAATATTCCTGTTGTTGTTATGTCCAGTAGTATCAGCAATGTTTATAATTTTTTATCTTTCCCTTTGGATAAAATATATTTTAAATCATAATGATAATGAAAATATTCATTGTTGGCCTGCATTAAACTTTTTTAATCTTGCAAAAAATAAAATAACTCAAAAAACCCTTGCCAGAGGACATTGCATAAGGATTAAACACTAATTATTACTATTTCTTATCAGCAAGCACTGCAATTTATTCAACTTACAAAATAAAATAAAACCTTTTGCGATTAAAAAAAACAACAACCAAAAACTGAGATTAATAGAACTTAAAGTGATGCCAACAAACCCCTAAAAAGTTAGTTTGATCTAAATTTGAAAAAGAGGAGGAATGTGATAAACCAACCTTGTTAAGAGCTCCAGCTCCAGTCAGGATGATGTGGGAGTTCTCCACCTGGATCACTCGCTGTCCCAAGCGCACCAGATAGGCTCCGATTCCAATAGCGCGACACGTGACCTGTGAGTAGATCAGATAGGGAAATCAACATGACCGTACAGTTTTTTTGTTTGTAAGCGGCATTAGACGCACATCCTCACCATACTGATTGTGACAATCTCTTCGTAGGCCTGAGAAGATTCCCCTGCTATAGTGCCTGAACCTCGCAAGTTCTCAACACCAAGACCTTCATCTTTCCCGATGATATCTGTGATGATGTATCTGTAAAGCACAGGGAACTTTACAGTTTAGACAAGAAGCAAAACAGGTCAAAGTGTATGACTTTTTCAAGGTAATTACATGTCTTTGCATTCACATGGCTCCACACTAAGCAGCATAGTTACGCATTTTAGATTTATAGATTCTCAGATAACAGACTCTGTTTTCTAATTTTTCATCATAACATCTTCCTAAAGGGTGTTTATTTTCTTATACAGTTTTAGCTTTACAAATAAATTGGTCCCCAAATTTTCGGAGATTGGACTCACAACATTTAGGTTCTTAAGGCCAAGATGAAGCTGAATAGCAAAAGTTCTAACGCTGAAAGAATATTTATACCATAAATATCTTAAAACGTAAAACTGCACTTAGAAAAAGTTAAATACACACTGATTCTCTATGTAGTTTGTTCTGTGCTGCTGACACCTTGACCTTGTTATGTTGAACAAAGATATTTGATTCTTGCAATAAATCTTGTCAATTAAAAATGTTGATGGTCTTAAAATGATGGATTACTAACACAAATTACACATACATAAGCAGCTGCAGGCACTTGTTTCTGCACATCTATTTTATAAAATTACTACTAAAAAACATAATTTGCTTGCATGTGGCTTCTGTCAAAAAGGGATTATTTAAAACCCAGGACATGGAGGCCTAGCTTTGCAGATGCTAACTCAGGCTCTCGGTTCTAATGCAGATGTCTTCATGTTTTCTTCCCACATTTTTTCTAACTTTGTCCAGATTCTGCTGAAGCCTAAAAAGTTACTGTGCACACAATGTTTTCAATAATTCATTAGGTCTTTCAAGACATTAAAAAATCCTAAAAGCAAATCACATACTTTTCTAGACATTTAAGGAACCCTGATTACTTAATATAATACTTAATAAGGTGAAATAAGGTTTTAAAATCTAAGTTTTTCTATGCTCAAATCTGTCAGATATTGTAAAAGGTAGTTTTGTCTTTTGGTTGAAAGATTAACTAACTACCTTGACTCTCCTCCTTCCTCTACATGCCGACAGTGAACAGAGTTGGTGGAGCTGATTCGGGTGTAGTCCTGTGGTGTCAGGTAAAGATATTTGAAACCCTGTAGGAAGCCATATAAGAAAGATGTTATAAAATTTTAACTCCACATATGGTCCCATCTGCTGTCACAAATTAAAAACAGATATATTTGACCTTGTATGGATCAGCAGGGTCTATCCACGCCACCTGGAACATATGCTTGACCTCTTCGGCCAGGCCAATGCGAGCCCCGCTGTTGGCTGCAATGTAAATGCGGGGGATACCCTCAGCCCGAGCCAGCTCGGATGCCCTGAGAAACAGTTCGTCCTCCTGAGGACCAAATGAACCAATCATATGAGTGATGTCATTACAGATGACAATAATGTCTCTGCCCTCTGGATACTCGGGGGTCTTCATCTTCATCCTAAATGCCACCATTCCCACCTGAGAACAAAATGAATCATAAATGCTGGTGTTATTTCACAAGGAAAATTAAAGAAGTTGATCTGAATATTCTTTGACATGTCTTACATCATTATCTGCAGGCTGCCGGTTCATCTGAACAAGTCCACCTTCTGGATCCAGAACGAGCTCGGTGCAAATCAGCACATCTTTAGGACATTTGTCTCCTGGGGCCCACACCTTGAATAATGCCTGAAATAACAGTTTATTAAAGGTTAAGCTGTAAGTTACATCACAACATAAATAAAAGCAGTTTGCTGAGTGGGCTGTACCTGTCTGAACATCTCAGGGACATCATACACATAGGTAGTCCCCAGTGTTTGAGCTTGGAAGCGCTTGGCTTGCAGCAGGTCTTTGGTCACATAAGGGGTGTTGATCAGCATGCCATGTAACGGACCCTGCTTGTCTCCATAAGACTGGAACATGATCTGCCCAAAGAAAATTGAAGAAATTTGTTTGTTAACATGCAAAACCAAAAAAACAAAAATTAAAACAGGAAATGGCCTATAATATTTAACAATACTCAGTTACATCCCTCACCTGTCGAGAGCTTGAGTCAATCACTTCCTTATACAGACTAATGTCCAAATAATAGCCTGATTCATTGGTGAGAAACAGGCGGATAGGAATGGAAATGCCAGTCGGTGTCGGACGAATGTTGATCTTTAGCTCAGCCTGCAGGACCCGCAGTTTCCAAAGACGACTGCCATAGCGCATCACCATGGAGCGAACAGATTCTTCTATCTGGTGTGCAAAAGATCAGGAAGAACAAAAGCAAGAAATTTTTAAGTAAATCAGTGAAAATTTAACTAAATGATAATGCCTAAACATGGGGAGAAAATGTAAGAATGTTAGAACCTTTGATTTCATGGATTTAGGGAAATTATGCATGTTACTCATAATATTTTACAAATTAAAGTCTGGAACTTATAGTTTGTATTAATATATCGATTTTATTTACTCTTTGCACTGCTAAAATGAAACTTAAATTGTCAAAGGTAATTAAGGGCAATTAATAAGTAAACAGCAAACTGCATGTATTTTAATCTCAGTATTAATCCAGCTGTTTTCTCAGGGCTTCTGGGGTTTGTATTTAAACATTATAGTTACCGGTAGAGTTACAAAAATGGCTGCATTTTAGCTTTAATAGGGTCAAAAAGTACTGCATTTCAGCTTTAATAAGGGCAAGAATGGCTGCATTTCAGCATTAATTTGGTCAAATATGGGTGCATTTTGGCTACATAAGCTTATTATATTTAGATATTTCCTAATCCCTTGTGGATTTGGGATCTTTAATAAACTCAGTGACATGAACCAATTTTAACACACGTTAAACCATACCCCCAGCTACCAATCCATTTTTTTCTACACAGATCTTTCTTTCACACCTGTGATTTGATGTAACATCTCTACTGTAATTCACAGTAACTTATTTGTAGAAAAAACTACTGCAAACTGACTTTGGATGGGTCCATGATGACAGTAGGGACAAAGTTAAGGAAGATGTGATTGCAGTCTGTCCGGACACTGGTATTACTGAAGGCAACCTCCAACTCATCCATGGCCTCCAGCAGCAGGCGCTCTCCCTCATTTTGAAGGTACTCAAACGAAGCTTCCTGGTTACAAATAAAGTTTTTTAAATTAGTTCTAAGCAAACTGGGTTTTGTTTTTACCTTTGAATAAAAATATATCACATTACAGCCCTTTGTTTGGTTGACCTTCTCCTTACTTTTGTTATGAGATCTGAGTGGCGGATAATTGCCCGGATGAAGAAGCGGTAGTCTGTTACTTCAGCCCCTTCTTGGACCCGAGCAGCTCCCAAATACAGGTGCATCTTCTTGTTGGCACAGGGAATCGCTGTAAGGTCAAAGTTCCTCATTCGGTTCAGTTCCAGCTGAAATGCGAGAGCCGGCTCCAAATTCCTGTAAATTCTGTCCTCCTGGAACTAAAACAAAGAAACAAAATGGAGGGAGGCAAGTAATAATCATAGTTTAAAGGAGAGGGACACATGAGCCTTTCTACTACAATAAAGATTAAAAACAAAATAAAAAAAAATAATAAAAACTCACCTCATCTCGAGCCCTGAAGGTGAAGAACTTTGGAAATTCTCTCTATTTGAATCAACCAGAGGACAAACAAATAATTAAATAACACAGAATATATTCTTAAAAAGCTAAGAAATACTGCTTGACTGACACTATTCATTTATTTATCATTTATTTCAGGATTAACAAAGTGAATTGAATTAAACTGACTGCCCTACTTTTCAGAGTTGCCTTAGTTTGTTTGAATAGAGAGGAAAAACTAAGGTCAGGTATTTCTCAGGGGTCTATAATGGGATCATTGTTTTTTTTCATTAGTAAAACGAATATTGGGCTAGGTCTGGATCCAGCTGTTTCTTATTGTTTAACTGTTTATATCCTGTTATCTAAGTAGCTAAAGATTCACTTCCATGAGAACAAGTTTTTTTTCCCCAAACTGTTTACTTACATACTGAGCCTTAAGGTTATTACATTATATTGTACTCTACTGGAGAGGGTTATAATTTTATTTTAAGAATCTTGGTATCTGTAAATTGATGGTCTGATACTCCTCAGCCAAATAATCAACACGACTGGCCACGGATACCAACTCAGGAATGGGGCCACCATCAGTCACCTCCTCTACATGACTGACATCAAGCTGTACACTAAGAATGAGCGAGACATCGACTCATTGATCCACACCACCCGGATCTACAGCACAAACATTGGGATTCCATTCGGACTAGAGAAGTGTGGTCTGATGGTGACTAAGAGAGGAAAGGTAGTCCACACAGAGGGGGTCTCACTACCAGAAAGAATAATAGACATTGATGACATTTTACATGTACCTTGGGATCCCATAAGCAAATGGCTACCTCGAAAAGGTGACAAGGAAAGCGGCTACGGCCAAATACCTCAAACGAGTGAGGCCGGTCCTAAGAAACCAGCTCAATGGCAAGAATAAGTCTCAGGCAATAAATAGCTACGCTCCACCAGTAATCAGATACCCTGCAGGAATAATAAGTTGGCCAAAGGATGAGATGCAGGCCACAGATGTTAAGACACGAAAGCTCCTAACCATGCACGGAGGGTACCACCCCAAATCCAGCACCCGGAGACTGTACGCTAGCAGTTAAGGAAGGAGGCAGATGACTAGTGAGCGTAAGAGCCACTATCCAGGAAGAAACATCCAAGATCCATAAGTACATCAAGGACAAGGCTCCAACAGACAACATGCTCAGTGAATGTCTCAGACAATGGAAAACAGAAGGTGAGGTACTGGAGGTTCCGTCATGGGAGGATAAACCCCTACAGGGGATGTACCTCCGAAGTGGCGGATATCAGGAAATCCTGATGGCTAGACAAAGCTGGACTGAAAGACAGCAAAGAGGCACTTATCTTGACTGCACAGGAGCAGGCCCTGAGCACCAGAGCAACAGATCTACCACACCAGACAAGACCCCAGGTGCAGACTGGGCAAAGCAACCCCTGAGACAATCCAGCACATAACTGCAGGGTGTAAGACGCTAACAGGGAAAGCATACATGGAGCGCCATAACCATATAAATGTGGTATATGTGTATAAAAGAGGCTGGAATAGTTTACAGGAACATCTGTGCAGATTATGGGCTGGAAACCCCAAGGTCAAAGTGGGAAACACCCCCAAAGATGGTAGAGAATGACTGTGCCAAGATCCTGTGGGACTTCCAGATACAGATGGACTGAATGGTAATGGGGGAAAAAAACGGACATTGTGGTGGTGGACAAAAAGCAGAGGAAAGCCATTGTGGTTGACATAGCAATACCAAGTGACTGCCATATCAGGAAAAGGAACATCATAAACTAGAGAAATACCAGGAGCTCAGGGAAGAGCTGGAGAAAACCTGGAAGGTCAAGGCATCAGTGGTACCCATGGTCATTGAGGCACTCGGGGCAGTGACCCCCAAACTTGAAGAGTGGTTACAGAAGATCAGACAGCAGATACATCAGACATCTCGGTCCAGAAGAGTGCAGTTCTAGGAACGGCAAAGATACTGCACAGAACCCTTAAGCTCCCAGGGCTCTGGTAGAGGACCCAGTATTTAGAACATATTAATACCTTTTCAATAAAACATTGAAATACATTATTATCATGTTGAAATACAGTATGAAAGTTATCCTTTGTGAGTTGAGCTGCAGGTTGTTAATATACTGTAACGCTAAAGAGAAAATTGCTTGAAAGAACAATTTATCAAATAATATGTGCCACCTGCTTACACCAGGGTGGAGAATTTAAGAGTAACTGCAAATCAACCTTGAAAAGCTACTTTTAGGCAACTGGGCGTGAAGTTTTCGCCTCTCATGCAAGAGGCTTCTTGAGGGAGGTGGGGGGTGGGGAATAACCTTTTAAGCTTGACAATGACCTGGAAGAAGTGGAATATCCCCAAGACTTTTTGGGGATTCAGCACGCTCCCTTTTTAAAGTTTTGAGAACAGCTTTGTGAAAAAAAAAAAAAAAAACAATTAATGCTTTGATTTATAACTGTTGTTTTGCTATTTACCCTGTGTTTCTCTGGTTTTTGTAATAAAGTACAAAATGTCTGCCTGTCATCCTAACCGGAACACCAAGCAATTCTTAGTTTAATAAAATGTTCAAAGAGGCATAAGTAAGAGGTGCAAGAATCAGAATAATTTAAAATTACTCAACAGGATTTTGTTAAAGAATCACAAATCTGTGTGACTGTTGCTAGAATTTATGTTATGAAGTAATTAGGATTCAGACATCATTGTTAACACAACTGAATGCAAAATACATTGTAAAAGAGGTACAGGTTTACTGCAACAAACAGTAGATGAAAAGATTTTTAGAAGTATTTACCTTCTGAGTGATCAAAAAGGTCATTCTTCTTATTCCATAGTCAAAAAGAACGGCTTTCTGCAAAAATTGTCAATAAAAATTTGTTCATTAATGAAAAAAGGAAATAATTAAAGTCTTACAATAGACATTGCCACTGACCTTTGATTGAGCGAAAGCAGTGAAGGCTTTGACTAAGGCGTCATCATCCTCTGTGTCTGCTGTTTTTATTGACACGTTAATGATGTGGATGAGGTTCTCCCGGTTGTTCTGTAGAGAACAAACAAAAAGCTGATGGCTCCACAGCTGGTAGCTCCTTACATTATATTAAACCCTTACAAACCTCAAACCCACCTTTGTGTTCTCCTCCTCAAAAAAACTTGGGCAGGACTCTAAAAACGAGGCGTTTTCCAAGAGGGGTTCAGCAAAACTCGACAGAACTTCATCAAAATTTCTGAAAAGCCACAAAACGTGAGTTGATTTTTATTCATATCTATTCAGGCTTTAAATGCTGACCAGGAGGTATCATGGTGAAAACAGTGACCTTTTGAAGTCGTCAAAGCACTGGAAAGCTACCATAGCTCCCATTCGTTGGCAAGGTGGAGAAAAGGCTCCGTCCATTAACAGCTCACTGCCCTGCCGCTTCACTTTGAACTGGCCAGATCCACCTGCTGCCACAGGAAGCCTGAACAGGAGACAGAATGCTTGAATGATAGAGACGATGAAGTTCTTTGGGGAAATGTGCAAAGATTCATACAGAGAGCGAAAAATCTAGTCGATATGTCTTCTGTTTGAAAAGGAACAGCAAGTATAAGAACCTTTACATAATGTGATGCCAAAAAGTCAAGAGGGAACAAGTCTGAAGCCTTTGCAAAGCGATATCTTGTTATGAAAGATAAGACCCTAAATTAGTATATATTTTTTAGATAAACAGATAAACTTGCTATTCAAATGTGGAAACAAAATCTATTCCACCTCTTACAACACAAATTCGCTTTTTCCAAAGTTATCAAGAAAAAAAATAGAAAAACTTTACCTTTTCAGTAAGCAGAATACAACCTAATGAATAAAGCTCTGAAACCCTTCAAATGTTTTTTATTTTAAATTTTATGACTAATAAGAATAATTTCTTTTTAGTTTTTAACATTGAAATGGCTTTTGTAGAATCAGATGTATTATATCGTGGTTAGATATAAGCTTGTCTGCTGCTGTCCTGCATCAGCAGCAAGTAGAACCTAGTTGGAAAAATTATAACACCATCTATTTCTTTAACGTATGAAAAGGACAATAAGATTTTAAAAATGATATGAAGACTGAAATATATACAACAAAAATGTGTGAACAAGTAAACCTGACATTTATATACAGTCATGAGTCTTATAGTTGTCAAAACTTATGTCTAAGTCAATTCTTTACAAAGCAGTCGAATTATGTCCTGAATTAAAGGAAAATAAGAATTAAGGTAGATTGTCTTAATTTATGATTGAGATTCTTGGTTATAATCCAATTCAGAAGGTTAGAAGCACAATATTCAATGCAATCACTGAAATCTCAGGCTTTAAATTTTTTTTTCTTTTTCAAATGAAGAACATGAAACAAATAAAAGTTGGACTATTGCTCAGAAATGCTTTAGACAGAGAGAGAAAGAAGCAATAACGGGACAACTGGAGAAGCTTGGCATGGAACGTAAATAAGGAAGGGCTTGTTAGAGGAATCCTACACGGACGGCGGAGGAAAAGCGACATGGTGCATCCAGCATGCATTGCTGTGAGACATATATAGACGATGGAGTGCTTTGGCTGGTTGGGAGGAGCTTTACTCTACCTGTTCAGAGTAGGGCTGCTCCCTCTGAAATAAGATAATTGACATGTGAATATCAGCAAGGGGTGATCAAAAGGAACCTAAAGGGACCTTTGTGCAGAATGATTAGATCTTAGCATTTTCTACAAAACTGTCCACATTGATTCATTATTCATTACTGCGGGGGGAAAAAATATCTACATTCCCGGTTAGCCATTAGCAGCTACAGAAGCAGCATACAGACTGCTCTCCACAATCGCTAATGAGTTCAGGAAGAAACAGCAAAACATTTTAAGCCTGGATTTCATTAGAATCTGTTACACCTTGAATATTCTTAGAATGAAAATTTATTGATTTCTTTTTCCATCAAGCTTTGTCAACAGCTTTATAGCTACTGATGTTATGCAAAGGTATGACACTGGCTTATATATGGCAGCGGGAGGCACCTAATAACTCAGAACTCCAAAGGTTGTGTTATCAAGGGGAACCCTGTCACCTGTTTGGATGTGATGAAGGCAGCATGAATTGGAAGTCCACGGCGCATGTTCCATCCATTAGCTGGTGATGCTGGATGCTGTTCAACTCATAGGCGATGTACGCCCTGCGAACGTACACCTGGAAGCGTAGCCAGAAGCAGACAATCAGAAATGGAACACCAAGATAGAAGAAAAGACACTCTGATCCAGCTCACCTCTAAAGCAGCCATGCACACAACTTGATTGGAGTGATAGAAGAAGTTGGGCAAGACGTCAAAAATGGAGGTTTCAGAGAGAATAAGTTTCTGCACCAAACAGAAGATGTTCTTTTTAGTTGATGTTTGAGCTGCATCCTGAGACTGTCGCAATCTACCTTCACACGCGGCTACAGCTGATGTTACGTCTCGATGTGAGGATATGAAAAGAAAACATTTTGCGAAATATCAAGACCTATAAAGCCTATTATGCCACTAATGGTGCACTTGTCTTTTAAAAGGAGAGCTTGTATTGGGATGAAAGATGTAACATATAAAGTGTTCTAGAGTTTCAGAGCAAAGGAACCTTCTTTTGCATTGACCATCTTGGGATGAGAGTTCAATGTTTTTATAAACACCCTGAGAGCCCCAACTAGTCAGATAATTATTTACTAAGCTGATCAGTAAACAGGTAAGACTACCCTCCTACTGAATCTACATTAAGTATTCAGTACACCAAGTTGAGTGAACCATTAACAGAACAATATCACAAAGTCTGCAAAGAGTAACAATAAAATACTGCAGACAGAAGAAAAATAATGCTATAATCGGATTTATAAACCAGTGAGATGTTTACGTGGTACACAGTTCATCTCATACCCCCAATAGATTTAAATGTAAAGTAATATTTTCATTTGGCCTATGTGTTTTTTTATGTCTAAAATTAAAACCCATGCCATTTTTTACAAATCTAAATGATAACAAGTCCTTCTTTTTTTTTATTTTATTGACACACCTTAAACATTATCTTCCTAATATTGTTAGGTGCTTGCGTCCTTCCATATTCAAAAATAGGTTAATTATTAAACAATAACAGTCTAACCTTCCAGGAGAATTAATAAATTTAGGTCTTAATTGGAGAAATCAGTGAAAGCCTAGCTTAGTTTGAAATGAAATAAGCTACATAGCTGTATGTAAAGCAGCAAGTCTTAAAACAGCATTAAAAGTCCAAACAGAGGGACAATACAGTGAAGGTAGCTTTACCTTTAGGTTTTCGGGGCAAAACTGATGGCCGTACATATCAATAGCTGACAGAAAGATGGACTCCACCTGGTTGTGTCTCAGTTCATACGGTGGCATATTGGAGGCGATCAAGACCTAAGAGTTAATATTGGAATTTATTTATCATCATTTTACAACAGTACAACCAAATTTTCACAACAACCTTCAGTGCCATCACATAAATTATGTATAAATATCTTGTTAGGTTGCTCAGACATCCACAAAGTAAATAGCATGTTTTGGACTAAGGTGAAGCTGGCTTACCTGTCTGGCTCTCAATGCAACCCTTGAGTTTTCCGTCTTGCTCAGCTGTGTGAGTTCATTCAGAATAAACATGAGCTCCTCAGCAAGGGTGGAATCACGTCCACACAGCTGGTCCTAAACAGAGTCACAAACACACAATGCATCAATGTTTCTTATCACTGTGCAGAGAAAATAGTATAAATCCATCTAAGTAGGAGGTAAGGAACCATACAATGAGCATTGTCACTAGGATGTTCTTCTTAGACACTTGAGCATGAGAGAAGATGTAGTCGAGCACAGGACTCATGTCCGGTTTGTGCTGCTCTCTCAGGTTGATCACACACTTATCATAATGAGCTGTAGAAAGAAAAATATGGATATTTCAGATATAAAGTTTAAGTTCAGATGCAGTTAAGAAAACATGTTATTAGAAAATCACTCATGTTACCTTGCTGGAACTGCATCTCTACCTGCAGGTAGTGTTTCAACAGATCAAGAACCACAGATTTCATGTAACCACGGGTTCCACTCCGATATCTGCACACAGGGAGCACATAGCACTGCTGTCGTATGGCAAGTCTTCTGCTGTTCAAAGGTTTTAAAACACCTAAATCTAGTTCAGGTAATTGATCAGCTGCCATCTGGTTATTTTCCACAAGCGATAAAGTTAAATACACAAAAGCTTCTGCGCAGAAAAATTAAAATAAAAGGTGTTAGAATAATTATCATTGATGATGTGTGACTTTATTACTCCCTAATATTAGCTGTCTGAACAAGACAGACTCAAGAACAGTTTCTTCCCCCAAGCCATTGCCGCCCTCAACTCCGACCTGCACTGTCGGTCACTTTACACCTGTTTTGCACTATCCCCCCCCCACAATCTGTGCCAGTACTGCTTACATTTCCTTTTCCTTTTAATATATTTATATATTTTTAATTTTATTTTTATTTCACGGTAGCTGATATGGAAGTCCCAAATCTCATTGTATCCGTTGCAGAATATAATGACAATAAAGGCTTTTTGACTTTTTGACTTTGACTGTTGCATGTCAGAACTGATGTTTTTCACAATGGTTTATCTAATTATGACAGTTAATATTTGGGAACGGAATGAGAGCGGTGTCCTTCAGTTAAGAACAAAGAGTAATATTTTGATAAGGCTGGAGTCATGAATGTCTCCTCATCTGCTAACATGTATGATGTAAAACATGATGATGTGGCACACTGGAACTGTATAAAATGCCTCTTTAGCTGTTAATCATGGCCACTTCCTGAGGGGTTAGCCCAGAGGGGAGCAGCTGCCTTCTGTAACTCTAAGGAACGTCTCTGATCTGAGTAAGATTACAATTTCTATCAAAATCTGTTGTCATGTCTCCTTTAATACAAATAAGTTATTAAATGATATTTAAAGAGTTTGTACCGAGCGATCTCTTTCAGGGAAAAGAACCGCAAAGAGACAGCTTCAAGGTGTAGACACAGAGAGCCTATTCTTTAACAAAGGAAACAATAAAAGCAGCAGTGCTGGAAAAGCTGCTAAGGTTCTCCATTTTATCACAATCACTTTTTCCAGCAGGGCTATGTAGGTTTAGACTTTTTTCTTACTCCCCTAATGAGAAAAACCTTAATTTGAAACAACAATTTTGTTTACTTGTGCTTTTTTTTTTTTTTTTTTACAAATATCTAATATTGTGATAAACATGGAAAAAAAAAGAAAGAAAAAAGAAATAAATATATCAAGAAGGGTAGGAAACTCTTCTTATCCCATTGTAGAAAGGCTAAATTGGCAGACAGTATTCAAACTACTGGTAGAAGCCAACTTTTTGTGTCATATATCACTAATCTATGAAAACTATGCATTAGTGTATGAATAATAATAACAAGATATTAGTTATGTGGAAATAAAAAGGTCATTACATGAGATGTCACCATCCAATCCTATATTTCGCAATGGGTTCTGACCAAGGCATTTTTCAATTATTTTGCATCCCACTGTAAAGAAAATGATTCCCCACTACTGGTTAACTGTTTGACAACAAGCTGGATAACCAAGAACCAAACAACAAGACTGGTGTCTCTTGCTAAAAATATTCTAATACCGGTAAATGAGAGGCATCCCCTTTTTACAGTTACTCTTAGGTAAAAGTTCTTTCATAAAACAGAAAAAAACTATTCAGCATATCAAGTTAGTTTATTAAAGATAAACTAAAGCAAACATATTTTCAAATGTCCCTCTTTGCTGTAAAACACCCATCATGTCCCACTAAAAAGATCATGTGCTGGTAGAAACTGTCAAACATATTTCTTCCATTTCTCCACAGTATTTCCCACAGTTTCAAAACATCATTATTAGGTTAACTGTGGATTTTGTCCCCCGCCTCGGGCCAAATAATTGCCGGAGACACACATTATACTGGAAAGCAAAAGATGGATGAAATGGTCAGAGCAAATTGCCACAGTAATCATCATTGTTAAAAGTAATAAATGCACATGTATTATCAATAATGATACATTAAAATCCTATATCTACATACATGCCACTAAGAAATAACTTATCCATGAATTACTGATATGTTTTTTTATATTATACCAAAAACCAAAAAACTAACCTCTGCACCAGCTGAACAATACTTTGAGTGTTCATGAAGAAAACCTCCCGATCAGCTTTCCTCTGCAGTGTGGCTGCATGGCTGTCTAGAATGTTGGCAATCTGAAATAAATAGGCAATATTTATAAGTTATATATATATATATATATATTGTACTAACATCAGCATGCTGGCATAGACAGGCTTTTACCATTTGACTGGGGAACTGGCAGAGGACAGAGGTGATGTTGCTTGCATACTGAGCCATGACCTTACGGATGTCCTTCTCAACACTAGATGGAATACGACTGGCCACACTGGTCATGATCTCCTGAAGTTCCAGCAATGGAAGTGACGGGTCCCTCAGAGTCTTCATCAGGGTTGTGACCCATTCTTTCAGCTGCACCAAGAGACATGAAAATGCTTGATGATAGTGCGATGGTTTCATTCAGGTATCTTTGACAGATGGGAGATATATAACGATACACACCTTAGTGCTAAAGTAAGGCTCTTCAAGGCAATACCCGTCCATCACACGGACCAAATTTTCAAGCACATTGTGGAACACCTGGTGAAGCTTTTCTCCAACCATTGGCAATGTCTGCTGGGGCGGCAATGTGGCTGTGTTGAGTTCCACCTGTAACAGAAGCCAAAGAGAAAAAGATTACCAAAACGTTAAACATCAGCATCGAGGGCACAGGGGTTAAGCGTGCAACCCATGTTCAGAGGCTTTGGTCCTTAACGTGGCCGTCTCAGGTCCGAGTCCAGGCCTGTTGACCCTCGCCACAAGTCTCCCCCCTCTCTTTAATCCCATTTCCTGTTTTGCAACTTTCAACAATAATAAAATAAAGGCTACTGGAATATAAAAATTATCTATTAAAAAAACCATTAGCGTCAAATTAGCTAAATCTTCAGAATTAACTACTACATATGAAAATTACTTACCTTGTGTATACTGCTGGGGTCATCCAGATCCATACTTGCCATGACACAACCAGGCTCCAAAACAGCCCCTGGCCTCTTGACAAAGTGTATACAACCAGATTGCTGAACAGTTAGAGTCATCACCATCTTCATCACCTGAGAACACAGTGCAATAAAACATGGGTAAACAGCAAGCAGACATGAAAGTTATAATAAAAACTGAGACACAGTTCTTTTTCTAAGAGTTTGCCAAACCTCAATCTCTGCATAAGGTTCCCCTGCAAAAATATGACCTCCATCCTCCACTGTGTACTGCAGTAGTTTACCAGCAGAGGGTGACCTCAGCACTGTGGGATCCCTCTCCTTCTCAAAAACACAAGTCTTGTTGCCAACGGTGATGCGGTAGCTACAGTGATGAAATAATGTGGGAAAGGAGTAAATATGAAGTCAGATAGGAAGATGATTAGTGTGGATTTCACACAGCGCAGGTCTTGCCTGTCTACTTCCTCCTTCATGTATGTAGTGTGACTGTTGCCATCATAACACAGCAGGAGACCCCCGTCATTCAGCCTGTGAACGTCTACTTCAATGTCTGAGCCGTTCATGACGATGACGTAGGTTGTTTGAGATTGGCGAGCCACCTAAAGCCAGCATAAGTCATAGTTGTTGAAATAAGAAATGTTCATAGTCCTTGAACTTTTTTGTCAATTTACAGCCACATACCTTAATGTATTTTCTTTGTGATTTGGTGTGAACGACAACAAAACAGTAAGTTTTCATGCATGTTTTACAAATTAAAACCTGACATGATAACTCTAGAATACCCGTAGAGCTCCAGAGCTCAGGTATGATAATTTGCAAATGTGACCTTTATGGATAAACAGCAAGAAGAAAGCTAAAACAATCCCCTTTTGCTGTTTATGTACAAAGTATGAAGGGAACATAGCAAACATCTAGTAGATGTTGCAGCTAGTTAAGATTGTAACTGCCATTTCTGCTCTACAGAGGCACAACCCTCTGAACAGTTTGTTCCTGCTGGCATATGGTGGTGGGAGGATCATGGGGTGTGGAAAAACTTTTTTTTTGCTGGCCAGAGTTAATGTAAAATGGAACTAGGATTATTTTGGAATAAAACTTTGAAAATCCTGAAAAAGATTTTAGAGAACATCAACAGGTCACCTTTTTACAGGAAAAGCCTAACCTCAAAGTAAAACGGAATAATTTTAACTAAAGCCCATTATGCTCCATAGTAGAGGACTTGTAGATGTACATGCAGCAAAATGGGATTCCCCATGGCATTACAATTAAGTAGCTCAAGAACAAAATACAGCAAACTCATTAATCTTTCATTTGTATCAACTTGATGCAAAACTGTGTTCTTTTATCACATAAAATCATTAAAAAATACATACAGATTTATGGCTGTAACATAGTGTAAAAAAAGTGGAAGGGGTGTTAATTATTTTTGCAATTTACTGTGAATAAAAAATACCTTCAAACAATACTTGACTCCTTCATATATTAGGTCTACATTGACAGAGTTGAGCAGGCTGTCTGCCGGCAGCACCTGGCCTCTGCAGATTCAGGAGATAAAAGTCAGTCATTTAAACCCACACTGTTACAGTGACACTTAACAGAAGACTGTCACCACTGGCCTTTCTAGGGAGTGCAGGAAGTCTGCCATGCTCTTTCTGAAGCTGGCGTCAGCGACATGCAGAGCTCCACAAACAATGCCCAGCATGGTATCTGGTCTTTCTGCCTGGAGAGGGAGAACGCTTATTATAGACAATAAAGCAATAGTTGGCGCCAGAACAAATGATCATGTCCTCTTGAAAAGAATCTGACTGACCTGAACTTTCTCTGCAATGAGATGATCCAACCAGCCAGTGTCGATGTCATTGTTTCTGAAGCTCTCAGTCTCAAGAAGCTTGATGAGGTATTCCACCGTAGTCCTAAAATCCCCTCTGATGGACAACTCCTTCATAGCCACCACCATGTTTCTGTGGAACATCCACATGCCGATTTAGTATTTGAAAAAGTCCAACCAAGGTTGACAAACTCTTTAATTTCCACTTTGGTTTTTTAAATGATTGGTTGTTATGATATCAGTATAGATATTGCATTATTTATTTTTAAGGTAAAAAGCACCAAAGGAAAAATATGAGCATTATACAGCATCAGAACAAAAAGAGGCTTACGAGATGGCTTCCTCTCTGTTCTCTCCCCAAGAAAAACAGTGTCCAAATTGGGAATCTGCAAATTCATGGAGGCCACCAGTAGCCCCGACACTGAAATAACCCCAGACGTTTTTACTGCTGCGGAAGTTCAACTCCTGCACAGTGCCAGAGCTGGGCTTGAACCCCTGAGAATGAGCCCATGACCATAATCAGTATTGAAAACACACGAGCAAAACAGCGTGTTGAGGTGTTGATTATATTAAGTTATACCTCGTCTGGATTCTCACTCGTGATCCGAGCAGCTATGACGTGCCCTCTTGGATTTGGAATGCATTCTGGAGTTTCAAAATTAATGATGGTGTCCGCCCATGGACTTTCCTCATAAAGCACTCGGATGTCCTTAATTCTGTGCAAAGGGACGCCCATTGCAATCTAAAGAAAAAACAGTTAAACCCTTCCATCGCTGTCCAGATCCAGGAAGGGCTGTGTTTTGAAACTCTTGAATATGTTTTATCTCTTTTCAATCACATCTAGGAGGTCACCTGCAGTTGGGCAGCTGGCAAGTTTACATCTCCAATCATCTCTGTGCATGGATGTTCCACCTGTAAGCGAGGATTCAACTCCAAAAAGTGGAAGCTTCCATCTTCTGAGTAGAGATACTCCACGGTACCGGCACTAACATAGCCCACCATCTTGGCCAATCGAACTGCATGCTGGATAAAAAGGAGAAGAAATAACTTTTTTAAATAGAGCAAAACTTTGGTTGGGCCAAATAAACGTAACCAGAGAGATAAGCTAACCCGCTCCATCTGCTCTAAAGTTGAGGTGGGGGCAATGGTGGCGGGAGCCTCCTCAATGATCTTCTGGTGCCTTCTCTGTATGGAGCAGTCTCGTCCAAATAAGGAGATTGCATTTCCATACTCATCTGCTAGTATCTGCACCTCCAGGTGCCTTGCATGCTGAGCCAGCTTCATGATGAAAATGGGGGATCCCGGAACCTCTGTCTGAACCTATACTCGGAGAGAAAAATACAGGAGTAGAATACAGGGAATTCATTTGAAATAAGAAAAGGTTTTTATTCTGACAAACAATGAGAACACAAACCTGTCTGAAGAAACTTGGGAAATCATCTGAATTTTCAACTTTCCGGATGCCCTTTCCACCTCCACCTTCAGAGGCCTTGATAACTACTGGATAACCAATCCTTTCAGCTCCCTGAACAGAGAGAACATATTTTAAGATTTGGCTGAAAGCATTAACCTCAACACTTATTGCCAGCCCTGAAAAAGATGCATTAGAATCTTTAAATTAAACATCTTTCATTTCATAATCTCAGACTGATCTTCTTAGAACAATGTCACTTCATATTAGAGTTAATAAATTTTTCATATACCATTTTTAACAAGCGAGTCATTACTTTTTGTTTATCGTGGGTATGAAATATAATCTGTTATCCATCCATCATAATCAAAGGACAATAGAATTTAATAATCTAGTAGGAAACAAAGCAGCTACTTGTCCAAACGTGCCCATACAGTAAGAGCAGCAAGAACTAGTGTCAGTACACCATAAAGAGTACAGATTAAAGGAGAGCAAAGGTGAGTAAGAAAAAAAGGCCTTTTCTGTCTTGCATTCAGAGGGTGGATTGGTCAAAACCATTTCAAACATCTAATGTTCGAGTTAAGAAAAAAACCAAAACGGTCTCAAAAATAAAACCGAAATGAAATTATCTGTGGGTGCAGAATTTTAGAAAGGAGAGAGGTGCTGTTATGGGCTGTAAACTAGCCAACTCCGTTTGTCAGGACAGCATAGAACACGTAGTCCTGTAAAATATCAGAGCTTTCTAAAGAGCTTTGCATTTTAACCCACAAAATAGTGACAAATGCATTACCAGCTTATTAACTGGAACTGGAAAAAAAAAACCCAATCAGAATAGCTTCAAATTTGCAACAGGAAGCTCAAAACCTGGCAAACACTAGCTCTGCTTAAACCCAATGATTGTTGTAGGTATGGGTGAGGATCTGATATGCTGTTGGCCTGTTTCCTAGTAACGGTCCTGAATGCTTTTTAGAGCAGATGGCATTATAATGATAATGATTGAAAACCTGTGGGAAATAGAGCTGCAGCTTGTAACTATTTAATATAAGTAAGAAATCAATGAACCTTTTGATTATTTGATGAATCATTTCATGTATGAAAGCTAATTTTAATGAATTAACATTCCTCAATAGTCTTAAACTTATGAATAAAAATACATTTATGGCACATTTAAGATGACTTTTAGCCTAAATGGAAAAAAAAAAAGTCAAAGTTTATTTCAATGGTCACAACAGTGAGATTCAATTAACAAGTTCTACATAAAAATTGTGGAATATACAAAAAAAGATAATTTTGCTTAACTGAATAAATAGGCTATTTCTTTTTTTTATGTATTATTTGGGTTGCAAAAGGTGATAAATATGAGGTTTTTATTTTATTTTACAGATTTTAAACAAGGTGAAGCTAAATCTATATCTCATCAGGAGAACTGGACAGAGCATATTTATATAGATGTTTTAAACTTTGATGGAAAAAGTATGCATTTCTGTACAGTTTGGGCTTTATTGCTTTAAAATCTGTATTTTCTATTTAGCAATTCGATTCAATTACTAAACACATTGATGATTATCTCAAAAACTGATTAATCACCAATAATCCAATCGATTAAGGCCTAATCCAAATAAACCATAGAGTTTTAATACTTCCCCTGTTGTTTTCATCATAGGAACAAAATCAAAGATTAATTACTTTTCAAGCTCTTTCTGCACATCTGTCTCCGAATAATTATTTCTCAAATCGATTAATCTGTTGATTATTTTTTTGATTAATTGATTAATAATTGGATAGCCAATGGTTCCTTAAAGAAGATTTTTTTACAGAATTAAACCAGGTTAAACTGAAACTTTTCCACTTGAGAAGTTCTGGATGGAGCATACTGATGAAAGAAAAAGTTTTTCTTATCTTAAATGAAAAATGTTTATATATTTCTTTACAATCTTGATATAATTACTGCTCTAGGTGGGTTGTTCTGCCAACTAAAGGCATTTTTTACAGTCTCTATACTCCAGTTAACGATTAATCGATTACTAAATTAGTCAACGATTATTTCAATAATCTATTAATCATGATTATTCCGATTACTTGTATTCCATAAACAAACTTACTTCAAGACCATCGTCTACATCACGGACACAGCCCTGTGTATAGATCTCTTGAGGAACACTGATTACATGACCCTGTCTTTGGTCCTCTTCGGTCCATTCCACTCTCAGACCTGGACATGCCATATAGGCATATAAACAGACGTACAACAAGACAGAGTGTATAAATATTCAACCACACTGTCTAGGAACTAATAGAACAGAGTGAACTCTGACAGTGAAGGGAAGTAATGGATTACCTGATCCGCTCCATGGTAGTGTGGGAATGTCAGCGCTCTGAGCAACAATAGAAGATGCCACCTTATCTCCAAGAGCCCACATGGCCTTACTGGATGGACCTGCGAAATACAGCAGATTTAGGAGGATGAAGAGAAGAGTCTAGATCAAATGAAAAACATGAAGCTTTCAAAAAGCTTTTACCCAAAAATGAAATCCCTGCTTTGTTCAGGAGTTCAGGCAGCTTTGGGTTTTCAGATGCGTGGCCCCAGCCAGCCCACACAGCCTGCACAGAAAAAAGAAAACACAAGGATAAAAATATGTGATTACAGAGATAAGAAATAATAAAAAGGTTGAATGTCAAGGTAGACGGAGTAAGGGATATACCTGTACTGGGATTCTTTTTGCAATATCTACAATCAGCTCTACGTTGGCGTAGTTGTTATTATTGGAGCCACCAGGCACAGGCACATAATGGTCGGCCATTTTTATGTATTCTGCAAAAGAGAAAAAAAAAACGGAACAACTATAAGGATTTACAAATGAACCTCAGATCAACATCGTCCAGTTAAACTTGGATCAGATCTTTGTAATCACGTCTGAGTAAGAGTACCTGCATTAGCCTTCAAGTCTTCAGGGGTGACCATGACCACGAAACGGATCGTCCTCTCGTTACGAAACATCTCATAGGACCAGCGACGGATGGAACGCATGCATTTCACTGCAGCAATGCCATTATTGGCGATCAACACCTATGTTGTAGAAACTGATCAGTGTTTGGATCTTTCTGTTTTTTTCACGGAAACAAACCAAACAGTAACTTTTATTCATACCTTTTCTATGACCCGGTTGCCACCGAATCGAGTGACGAACTCAGCAGGAGATGCTACAGTGAAATCCCTGTGGAGATCCATCTTTCTGTGTTCACGTCCTTTTTTCACCAGGTGAGGACAAGACATGCTAGGCCTAAAAAGGAAAACTTAAAGGTCTGTATTTTGACCAGCTGCAAGGAAAAAAAACTCCCACAAAAATGTAAACAAGACATTTTTTGTCAGTGTTAAGGAGGTCAAATAGGAGTGAATTCAAATCGAAGACTTGAAATGAAGGTCATTTACAGAGACAGGTTGTACTTTTTAAAGTTCTTATCTTATCACCAAAATGTAACCTTTATGTAATTCTGTATTAGAAACCAAAAAGTAAAACATATCTATTTACTCGTTATTTAACTTTTTATCAGTAGTCAACAGTTCTTGAAGTTACAAAATGAGAAGATATCAAATAAATGACACACTTTTGCAGACCTTAACCTTTATCCCACTTTAGTTACTGAAAGAGAACACAGTGTTTTGCAAGGGGACTAAATAAGTATATTGCTCCTTAGAGAGCAAACTGTGATATTGAGTAATTGGGAAAGTTTCCAAGTATTATCTTTAACTCTGAGAAAGATCTTTCAACATGAAATGTATAAAATATTTAAGGGGATACTAAAACTCAAAAAGAGCTCTTAGGTCTCAACATGTAAGATAAAAGAAAACATAAATTAACTTTGTAAAAAACATTTTTTTTTTTTTACCTGAAATGTATGAGCTATAGAACATTAAAGCCAAATTATACACACAAATAAAACGTTAGGCAATTAGGTTTATGCACATTTACCTAATTACCAATAAAGCTTTAAAAGCAACATTTTATGAAAAAATAAAGTTAAAGACAGTTAATAAATTCTAATTTCCAGCCCCTTCATCATACTATTCTTGAATTTAACAATCGTTTTAACAACATACCCACAAAACCCATTCTGGAGCAACCAGAATTTCCCCTGAAAGATATACAGGCCCCTCTCCCACCTGTTTCTAGACACTGCTGGTCAGGCTGGTTTATATACAGGGCAAACACATGTTACCCTTACATTAAGGAAATATAGATTTTCTGAAAAACTAAAGCTACAGTAAAGGAGCCCTACTTAGTACTCTAAATAAGCTGACACTATTTTAAAACTACAGTTTTGAAGCTATTAGCAGCCATTCCTACTGAGCAGCTAACTTTAGGCTGATTACCAGAGCAGATAAGTATTAATAACCTGCCGATATCAGCTTGTAAAGTCCCCCAGAAGTATTCTAGAGAGAAAACAGTGGCAAAAAAGATCAGGTCTACGGTATGTTTCCAAATCTCAATAACATTAAATAAATCCATTGTAAGGTTATCATTTGCAGAGTTATAATAACATATTTTAATATCCTAGCAGGTTGCTTCTTTAACAGTTAAAAATCATAATTATATTTTAATATTCTCAGCTATATAATATTTTTGCATGTTTTAATATAAAGGTGCAAATGCCATAGAATTATTGTTAATTGTTAATAGTGCAACTCTTTTTCATTTTCTATACAGTACTTATATTGTAGCTTTGAGTATCTACCTATATTGTTATCAACCAGATATGTTAACATCAGGAATTCTACATACTTTTTAATATGTATTAGATGTTATAAAGATTTGATCAAGTAATATTACTCAAAACCAAGGGTAAGAGAACAAATTAACCAATGGGATCATAAACTTTAAACATAATCAGATAAAAGTGGAGCATGCAAGTGGATTCATTCCAATATTTGTTTTTTAACTAATACCTGACCAATATCAGATATCAGTGTTGGACTGGGACATCCCTAGTATCTTTATTTAAGGTTAAAATAACAAATATCTCCCATATCAAACCACCCATGCATAATGAAAGAAGACATTTAACCCAATAGCAGTACTGTATATCAAACTGGTTCCCAGATGTCTTAGCCTCTGACTCACAAAAATAAAGTCAAATAAAAAAAAAATCTTTAAGAGAAACATGACCCAGACCTTAATTTAAGTAACCATTACAGGTGAACAGGGCTGAGCCAACACTAAATGAGCAGAGACTTCCCTCAAACATAATACTGATCACAAAAGCAAAAAACATTTCACAGGTAGTGGACATGTTAATTAGGCTTAATTCAGTTGTTGCAAAGATAAAGATTAGGGGAGCTATTTGGAGTCCATCCATTTTTTTTTAAATTGGAGTTAAAGCAACATTAACAATGTCTAAAATATATCCATAATGATAATAATGATTATCCATCCCCTATAATGATTGGGGATCCTGATAAAAAAGTAATTTTGCCTATGCTTAGGGCTGACTCTGTTTTTAAAGCTATCCAACTAAAATCATAATTAATCAAAAAATAATAATGCATTTATAGATAGATGTTTATTTGTTGTATAAATAACAACATCTGATCCACATACATACCAATAGATTCTGTCAGCTCCCCTCTACTGTCCTTCATGCATTAAGATCCATTTGCTCTATACCAGCTGTTTCTGGGAGCATTCCTGCATGTCTGAGCTTATGTGAACTTTAACTCTTGCACTGTACCTTCCACCGAGGAAGTACAACATGCAATTAAAATACAGCCTGATAATTTTTTTTAACAACTCTGAGTTATTTAAAGTGGCAGGCCTGCAGCAGGTAGAGGTCACTTTAAACGGGCTCCGAATATAACCTATTGTAGGATTGAGCTCTAATCATAATCATGAGGGTATGTGAACAGAAACAATGCCAGCTTTTTTATGCACCGTTTCATGTCAATCAATGTCTCTTATGTGATGTGCACGCAGTTACTATAAACTGCATTGCTTTTTATGTTTGTTTGTTTTACAATTTCCTTTAAGAAAACTAAGCGCTAAAGTGAAATGAACTGTGTGAACTGCAGAAAACTCTGTTTCCTGTTATATGGCGCCTGCACAGCGTGCACCAGCTGCTGTTTTCTGTTCTCATAAAGACATCAGAGTTACTTTTCTGCAGTTTTGCTAAAACTTGAAGCTGATTGTTTACATACCAAACCGAGTAGCAGCAGCTATCAAGTGTGGGTTCAAACAGACAGAGGGGAGTGAAGGAAAACACTCACCTCTGGAGGTAAGGGAATAAGTTATTCCGCTCCATGATCTGCTCCCTTTTACACCGCTCAGGCTCTTTAGCGGATTTTTGAAGCTATTTCTTCCCAGATCATAACAAACGGTCTGCACATAAAGTCCTTCCTCCTGGGTGCAGCTGAGCCTCCTCCCTTCCCCCCTCCCACATGAACAGCAGCACAATATCTGCAGATCCTCTGAGGCGCATTGTTGGCTGCAGATATGCAACAGAGCAGACCCTCCTCTCCGTTTTTATTTCCATGCATCTGTTGCTTCCAGACTCTAATTTTCTATTTTTTTTTTCTTATCATGCACGTTTTCTTACAAATTTAAGGTGTATGTTGAAATTAAATGTTGCAGGATTTTTGCAGACAGGAACTGAATTCATGCAAGAAAAAACAACTTTTCTGTTTACTATCTTCAGTCTTGGTTGAAGTGTGTGCAGAACAACAACATGCTTTAATACATGCTGGTTCCTCTTTGTCTGGAGGAGGAGTTAGTAATAAATGAAAGTCAGAAAGATCAGTGTTTTTTGAGGGGGGGTGTTAAACCAACTCCAGTCCCCCAGGACCGCTGTCCTGAATTATGTTGCCTTTCAATGATCTCACCAGCATGCTGTTAAGTTAGATTGGCTCCTGCTAACTACCCAATTGTTGGATCTTGAAGATCTACACATCTAAAGGTCACAGGATGCTCTTTTGATGACTAGTTTGACACTATATACTTAATTTCTTTTCAACTTCTTCCTCTGCAAAAAAAATAGATTTATGGAGTACTTCACATATATGTCCAATAAACAGGTTTCTCACCTGAGCTGTGAATCCCTGCTGCTCCTTTAAAGTTACCAAGGGTCTCTTGGCTCCTTTTCAATCTAATATTTTTCCTTTGTTAGCCTATATTATGTATTAAATGAGACTCAAAGCCTGGGATGCTGTTTTATTATTTCCCCTGCTTTAAACTTCTCCATAATGATCCCCCCACTTTCTCTCCTGTGTAAAATTTAGTTAAAAAACTAATTCCATACTAGCATGACTGAAGGTTCCCCCAAATCGTAAAAATATAATGTTAAAACTGAGCTCTGGTTGTCAACATGATATGGGGATATTTAGCATATGGATTCGCTATATTTTGTAACTTTAACGTTTGAACTTGTCAAATGCAGAACAGCATATAATAGAATAAATGAGAACATTTTAAGCTCAGTTTGTAACTCTGTTTCTCACATTCTTTTTCTGAAATAATTCCAAAAGAAAATGCAGTTTTAGTGACTATATTCAAAACTTTAACCAGATCTAGCTTAGGAAATACAGCTAGAATTTAAAATGTCCAAAAAAGTAACAAAATTACTTTATTCTATTTCTTTGTGAGAAGATTACAATAAGCCAGGTGCTAAGATCAAGGTGTGATGTGTGTCTTTAAAGATAAAGGTTGTCATTTAAAACAATTTAATGTAATAACCACTGTATATATGAAGCACTAATTGATATTTGTCCTTTAGAAGTTGGAAGAAGGGAAAGCAATCTGACATATTTCAAATGAAAATAATAGCCACGTGACATACTTATCTAGATTTTTTATAACTATATTAAACCCTGTGCAATATTGTGGTAATATAAACGTCCATCTACACCATTAAAAAAACAAAAGACATTAGTTATTCTGCATCCTACCTTTCTCACTTTCATGATGATGGTTACCAAAATAAGCACGCCAAGCAGAGCAAATAACTATGAGCACTAAACTACTCTTCTGACCCTCATTAAACAAAACATTTTGCAGCAGAAACCAAAAAAAAAAAAAAAAAAACCCAGATTAAAAAAGGGGTTAAATCAAAAAATCTGTTAAAAACAGATTACTGTGTTGTGACCCAGGTCGCAAAAAATATAACTCTGAAAGTCACAGGCCCAGGCTCTTGTTCCAATAATAGAGCCGAGATGTTTGGCAGGCATCAAAAGCACAGCTCCATGCAGTCAGGTGATAACACTTGCGGAGAAGGAGAACAACGCGTTAGCAGGCTCTATATATGTGCTTCGATTACATTAGGTCAGCCAATTTTAGATCGGACCTGGAAAACAATCCCTGGTTAGTTATTTGAGGTTAGTCAGATGCGTTTGAACGTCACATGACAGTGCATTAAAACACCCCCTGAGCTCAGATGGTGGGAACTAAATTTACTTTGATGAAGACAAATTCTTACTTTAGAACCACAGAGCTGGGTGGTGGCACAGCAGCAATTGCCTGCTCAGTGATGGATTTGGAAGCTGATGCTCCCCTTGGAGGTTTTGTCAATAGTACTTCATCGTCTGAGGAATTATCTTCCGATGCTCCAAGGATGAACTTGAGGCGCCCTCTCATCTCTGATCTTGAGCTCAGCCTCGGTGGGATGGCTTTTGAGGGTTTCTGGGTGTCCTGCAGCTGTGGATGCGGTGAATTTACCTCACAGGAGGCCTCTGTATGATCAGACTCTGCTCCTGAGTCGGAAAGACCTGTAGACTCAAAACACTGCGGACGGTTGTTGCCATCGATACATTTCGATTTGGGTACAGCTGCTGAGAGGGAAAGGCTCTCTGCATGAGAATCGGACTGTGCAATGGAAATCTCCTTCTCAGCTGATTCTTGACTTTTTCCAGGCATAGCTACTGTTTGGGTTTTATTTCTCCATAGTAGCAGGAATACCCAGATAAATACCAAAGCTACAAGCAGGAACATTTAAAGGCATCCTCCCGATGCTATAAGAAGAACAAGATGGACATAATCAAATGCAAATGGAAAAATTACCAGCTTGAGCTGTTTAATTGCGTGGAGGAAAAAAATGTCAGTCACTCTAACATAACAAAACGTAAAGGAAAAAAAAAAATCAATCAAGGGTCTACTCATTTATTTCACAATAAAATTTATTATAGTTAATTATAATAAATAAAAACAGATTTAGTCATAAGAAACTGGCAGAAGCGAAGGGTCCAATAAACTGAAAAAACTCACTTGTAGCATTTGATCCTGAATAGTGTCCTAATCTGAACATGTTTCCTTTGAGGTGATAAGGGGTCAGAAACTCAAAGCAGTTAGGCAAATATTAGGCTAATGAAAACCCCTCAAAACCTCTCAGTTTGTCCGTGAGGATATGTGTCCCTGAATGGCAGAAGGATCCACCAGGAGACATTTCTCAACCATGCAGGGTCCAGTACATAGGCTCCCTGAAACAGCTGACAAACATGAGAGCTAAGTGTGGCTGCTGGATATGGGCTAAAGGTCATCTCTGAGAGGAGGTCCACTTCACGTGTTAAATAAAAAAAAATAAAAAAATCTAATAGATTGACTGAAATAATGATGAATAAAAAGGGAGGTGTACAAATCAATATAGAATATATGACATATTTACCCCTCTGTGTGACTAAGGGGGAAATCACATGAGAAAATCACCCCATTAAATACATTCAGTACAACAGTCCTATGTGTAAAGGCAAAGCTGGAACTGTTAAAAATAACAAATTGTGACAGAACAATGTGTCTTTTCATTTGCTGGCTGATTTTTGTTTATACACAATCTGATCATGTCTGAATATAACGAAAAGAGCAGTTTAATGATAACGGATTAAAAATGAAAACTGTAAGTTTTTAACCGTTTACTCAAAAAAAAAAATCTGCTTACTGTCCGAAGTTACACTTGTTGCTTATAAATTATAGAACTTTTCAAAACGTTTTTTATACACACACACACATATATATATATATATATATATATATATATATATATATATATATATATTATTTCAAAACACAATCCTTGATGTTTGACAAGGGGAAGAAAAATAACGGTCGGCCCAGTTGTAGCCGGTCGGCCCAGTTGTAACCGCTGGTCTAATGTTTCCCCTCTCTGGGACAGCTTTAAATGTCACCTACCATTAGCGACCGGTGTGTTCTCCACTGCCCGCGGACCTGCACCTCCTCATGCACCTCCTACTTCTCTCAGCAGGCAACGTAAACACGTCCATGGAGGTCACGCTCCTCCCATAAACAGTAGGTCGCAAAGATCGTCGATTCACGGCAAGTATATCTCTCTTCCTCAGTCCCAATCGCACTTCAATTTAAACGACTCATCTCTATTAGTATATCAAGCAGTTAAAGGAACATAACAAATATTACAAATTTCGGACACTAAAATAAAGCACGTTATTTAAAGCAGGTAGGCCTGGTAAAAAAAATATTAAAATTCAGAATAATACATAAGCTTAATTGTTTTTTCTCTATATATAATTTTTAAGTAAATTGTCTTTTTTCGAAAAAGGGTATTTCACACAACAGTGTCTTTGTTATCAAGCAAATTTGCCTCACAACATGGCAAATAAAAACTAACTGGATAAGTTAGTGTTAGGGTTTCTTTCTTTGTTTGTTGAACAGTTTATTTAAATTTGTGTAAAGAAATAACAATATTACCTTTTTTCATTGATGTTGATAACCTTCCCTACTCTCCTCATGTTTGTTCTATTGTCAGTGTATTAAGCCATATTATAACTGGCTTGCACATAATAAGGCTCTAAAATTTATTTTATTTAATCTTACAATAACATAAATTTCATTTTAAAAAGTAACGACATTAATAACGCTGTAACGAGACTATGTGCGATGTCAATCATCACTTTAAAATATACGATCTTTTGTCTTCCTGCTCCCAGTCTCGCGGCAACTGCAGGAAGGCGCCAAAAGAAGAAAAACCTTGAGAAGTATCGCAGCCACAATAACAGAGGGGAAATAGGCCAAAAACTAGCCTTTTACGCTACGCTATGTGACTAACTTCATTTTTAATATAGAGATTTTAGGCTTAGTTGGTTAGTTTTTTCGTCTGGTACAGAGAGCTAATAACAGAAGATGGTTTTGCAGAACAGCGGACGATACAGAGCGGACAGGGGCCAACCTGGAGCAGACCAAGACAACCAGTAAGTTTGCGGACATTTATCTTCTCAACACAACTAAACGCAAGCTAGTGACGTAAGTTAACTAAAGAAATCGCGAAATCAACGTTGTTGCGTGTTTTAATCAGGGATGATGGATCTTCCATGTCGGCGCTCAAGCGGCTGGAGCGCAGCCAGTTTACCGATGACATGGACGCCCGCTTCGGCTTTGACAGGATCAAGGAACCCGGGGAGAAAACCGGCTGGCTGATCAACATGCACCCCGTGAGTCCACGCTGTGACACGCGTGGATCAAATGTAGCCTCATATGGGTCACTAAACATGTTTGCATTATTTTAGACGGAGATCCTGGATGAAGACAAAAGGATGATCAGTGCTGTGGACTATTATTTTATCCAGGAGGACGGGAGCAGATTCAAGGTATGTCATCTAAAAAAAGGAAAATAAGCTTTGACAAAAGTATTCACACCCCTCTAACTAAACAATTAGTAATTTTGGAAGTTTATTGTGTCAGACCAATAGAAAGTAAAGTGGAAGGACAATTTCTTAAACTTTCTGAATAAATCTGTATCCCTGCACCCTGCTGTGTGCAACACTGCAAATTTCTCAGTGTAAACACTTCTCTAAAGGAGATTATTTAACAAAAAGAACCATCAAGATGGATCAACACAGCAGACAGGTCAGATAAATTTCTTTCAGAGAACCCAAGCTTTGGATTCCTCAGAACCCCCCACAAAAGGGGTTGGTAGCTAATGAAAACAGACAAGAGATTCACCATAGCTAAAGAGGTTCCAATAATGAATGAAGGCTCTTATGTTTTTACTTGGGGAGTGTTGGCCTAGTGGTAACAGCGGTGCGCTTGTGCTCTGAGAAGGTTGCAAGTACCCGGTGCGATCCCCTGGGTTCTGAGCAAAACCCTTAACCCCACACTGCTCCCCGGGTGCCACACAGTGGCAGCCCACTGCTTCACAAGATGAGTCAAAATGCAGAGAATAAATTTCCCCATTCTGGCACAATAAAGGGATTTACATTTCTGCTCCGCAGGTGGCTCTACCCTTCAAGCCTTACTTCTACGTAGCAACTAAAAAGGTATGTTTGTCAGTAATTTTGTTAGATCTAAATCCTGCTTTTAGAGAACTGTAAAGAGTATCTTATTTCCAGAACTGCGAGCGAGAGGTTATCTCCTATTTATCCAAGAAGTTCCAAGGAAAGGTGGCAAAGCTTGAAATTGTTCCAAAGGAGGACTTGGACTTGGTGAGAGATTTTGGGTCCTTCAGCGTTCAGATTATCCAGAGTAGCTGAGTTTAACGTAACGGCTCGCTCTCCCCAGCCGAACCATCTAGTTGGACTGAAGAGAAACTACATCAAGCTCTCGTTCAACACCGTGGACGACCTCATCAAAGTCAAGCGTGAGATTTCTCCTGCAGTACGCAAGAATAGAGAGAGGGAACAGTCCAACGACGCCTACACGTCCATGTTGTCCAGGTAGCTATACTTCATTGTTCATATTGGAGTCCCAGAGGCTTCACCTTGATCCCTTTGTTTGTTTGTTTTTTTAATTACGTCCTCCTTTGTTTTCAAGCGCTCTAGCAGGAGGCAGTGTGACCTCGGCTGACGATGACGGGACGCTCAAGAGTATCGCTGACCAGCTGGATAATATAGTGGACATGAGAGAGTATGATGTGCCGTATCATGTCCGCGTGTCCATCGACCTCAAGATTCATGTGGTAAGAATGGGTTTTCTCTAATGCTTGTGTTTCCTTTTTTAAATCCAATCTCTTTAGAGGTTGTTTGCTCTAATCTGGTTCTGCTTCATCCAGGCTCACTGGTACAACGTCCGATACAGAGGCAGCACCTTTCCACCAGAGATAGTGCGAAGAGACGATCTAGTGGAACGCCCGGTGTGGAGATGTTATTTATATTGAAAAGCACAGATACTTTCTCACTGCCGGGACCCTCTCCTTTACACCCAGCTTCTGTGTTTGTGTTCTTAGGACCCGGTTGTTTTGGCTTTTGATATCGAAACCACCAAACTTCCTCTGAAATTCCCAGACGCGGAGACAGACCAGATCATGATGATCTCCTACATGATTGACGGACAGGTTGGCGTTATTCAACGTGCATGCTTCTGTTTAACCTCCCTTCATTGTTGGTGTCGGTTTCCTCACAGCTCTGATTTCTGTCCTTCTAGGGCTTTCTAATCACAAACAGGGAGATCGTCTCCGAGAACATCGAGGACTTTGAGTTCACCCCCAAACCGGAATATGAAGGGCCTTTCACAGTTTTTAACGAGGATGACGAGGTGGGTAGGATTAGGGCAATAGGCCAACATAAAAAAAAAAAAAAGGGGGAAATGTAGACTGAATACAAACTCTATGCGTTTATTCATCTGTTTGAATCGTTACACCGCTTCAGCCTTCTTTGTTTTTCCTCCTCTACGCTTCTGGAAACCCTCTTAAATATTTTGGAAGCGTTTAGCTGCTGCAGACTTTTTTTATGGGTAGATCAGAGTGAAATGGGCTGAATATAAATGTCAGATTTTTGGAAAAGTTTCTGCTTTCAAAACCACATCAGCCGTGTTGTAACCTATTAAATGACTGGCTGCAGGCGGCTCTTATCCAGAGGTGGTTCGATCACGTTCAGGAAACTAAGCCAAACATCTTCGTAACCTACAACGGAGACTTCTTTGACTGGTGAGCCCGTTATGTTTTCCGTCTTCCAGGTTGAAGCAACGATTTACTTTTTACATAGTCTGTAGTTGGTTGGAAAATCTGTACAATCTTGATATAAAATGTTGGTTTTTAACTGTGTTTCATTGTTACAGGCCTTTTGTTGAGACGCGTGCAGCACTT